CCCATTCCCCAGGACCAGTTTTTCATCCTGAGTCGCTTTTTGATTGTCCCAAGGCCCGGCGAGGGCCCCTTGGGGGCCGAAATCTGCGAAAAACCTCCGCCTTGATTTTTTTCAATACGTTGGATCTCTGGGTCTGGGCACCCCTTTCGATCACACCGGCGTCCGGGCCCAGGTCACCGCCTGGTAGCACAGCTCGCCGGCGGCCGCATCGCGGCACGCACCGCCCGGGGCCTCCGCCGCGGCGCTGGCCTCGGGCTGCGGCGGCTCGCCGGGGGAGACGCCCTCCGCGGCGGGGGGGGCCCTCTTCGCGGGGGCGGCGCCGTCCGCCGCGACGGCGTCCGGGTACGCCTCTCGGCGGCTCCGAGGGGTGTGGCTCGCCATCCGCACCCCCACAGGACGGGATCGCGTGGGGAAAGAAGCACGACGGGAGGTCTTGTGCCGCTTTCGGCCTCGTGGGGCCCTCGCCGGGCCCCAGGAACGTCCAAGAGCGACCGAGGGATGAAAAGCCAGCCCCCGGGGAAAGGGTCGGGACTTCCGGGGACGTACCGCGCGTGGAAAAAATCAGGGCGTCGCATGTCTGGGCCTGGGGGGCGAGCGAGCACCTCGACAGAGGTCTCCAGCGCCCTGGCAAGGCCCGACGAGGGGGCGTGGTGCCCCACAAGCCCCAACCGACGCAGATCGTGAACCACGCCCACAACCTTTGCAGCCGCCCATCCTCGAACGCGTTATCCGCGGCGGAGGCGCCGTACTCGTCGCCGTCGACGTAGCCGTCCCACTCGAGCGCATGTTGTTTGAGATTCGCGATGACGCCCGTGACCAGCCCCGCCCCGTTCGCCCCTGGTCCCGTCACTACTCTGCCGGCGCCGTGTGGGATCTGGCCATTGCTCAGCATTCCCAGACGGCGCGGCGGCGCGAATCGTGACGTGACTGGCCCCCTCGCCCCCTCCCCCTTCACCCCCAGCCACGCCCGATATCGCAAGGAGGGGATAACAGAAACGGGCTCCTCGTGGTTCAGGTACATGGTCATCTCGTGTTCGGTCATGTCGGCCACATTCATCTTGACGCGCTGGTGGCGGCTGTGCTTCGAGACCAGATCCTTGGGGCAGGGCCTGCCGCATTCGTACTGCCGGCGCAAAAACAAATGCTCCTGGACCTCCTCACGGCTGCTACTCTCGCTGAGCTCTGGATACTCTTCCGGGTGCGCCCCGAGGCCCACCTGCATCACATTCCTGATCGCATTGTAGCAGCGCGAGCCCTCCCGTGGGACTTCGCACTCCTCCAGCTCGGCGTTGATCTTCATGGCAGAGGGGCTCACCACAGCCTGCGTGATGTCAGAAGTCGTGGTCGACATTACCTGGGGTATCGACGAGCAGGGCAGCTTGCAGCCCACCTTGCCACTGTTGTGAAGCACGGTCTGGAAGTCATGGATGCTGGACTGGCGGGTGAGCCCAGGATACCAGTCTGGATGGCTCTCCAGGCCAATGTTCTTCAGCCACTGGATGGAGAGGGAGCACCAGTCGCCCTCCACGACGTCGCCGCAGCTCGTGGGCTCCGAGAGCTCGTACGCCTCGCTGAACACCTGCCTGCCGGTGCCATCGACCTCGAGAGCTCTCTCGTCCAGCGACTGCGCCAGCCGCTTCGCAACTCGGGAGATGCAGGGACTCGGGCAGTCCGCCTTGCCGAGCGTGTGCAGCACGGCCTGCACCTCCTGCCTGGTGGAGTCCGCGCTGAGCGACGGGTACCTCACGAGCGGCGAATGTATCCGTATCCGCGCACTCGCGGTCTGGATTCCAGGGCGCAATCCCGCGGGTACGCTGTCGAACGGATACATTCCACGCGGGGCGTCCGCAAAAAAGCGCCACGTATCCGCGGGGTCGCTGCCGAGGGGCCCTGCCCGCGAGGCCGCGGACACGGTTACGTTTTTCGCCCACGAGTACCAGTCTGGGTACTTCGCAAGGCCTTCGGCTTGGAGCCACGACGCCGCGTGGTAGCACATGCTGCCGGGCTGCGCGTCCTGGCAGCTCGCCTCGTGGGACTCGCTGGCGCTCAGGAGGGCCAGGCCACCAGTTCTGGCACTCGGCTCCGCACTGCTCTCCATCACCGCCAGGAACTCGGTAGGCCTGAGACCGTAGGCATGCTCGATTCCGAGTTTCTTGAAGAACAAGTGCTCGGATGCCATGCCAGAACTGATTGACTCGTGCTCATAACGGGCATCGTGGCGAGAAGTGATAGCAAGGGAGGTACGAAAGAGCAGGCCCACCAAGAAGAGGCGGTTCATCGCTGAGCGAAGGAATGTGTAAGGCGTGTCGGTTTCCAAGGTTGTATTGTATGCATTGCGCATTTTCCCTACGTGAGAGCAAATGCGGCTCGGAGCCAGAATCATTACGCGTACGCGTATGTGCCTGCTTGAAGCGCAGGGAAGCATTGATGACCACGAGACATCTACAATGTTCCCGCATACAGGTAGGAGGGGGCAAAGGGAAGAAAACGTTTATGCACATGCATATGCTGATATACGTCTGTACTCGTACGTGCTAGAACCACACGCGCGCATCGTGCGCGCCTAGGCTCTAGTTTAAGCAATCGGTGTTTCGCGCGCGCACGCTTGCCTCATCTTCCCATCTTCCTCCTCCTCCACCCTCTCCATCCCCATACTACCCCCATCGCACTCCTTCCCCTGTTGTTGCTGGTCCATCTCCTCCTCCTCCTCCTCCTCCTCCTCATCATCATCCTCCTCTCCTCCTCCTACTCCTCCACCTCCTCCTCCTCCTCCTCCTCCTCCTCCTCCTCCTCCTCCCTGCCGCACGCTCGTGACTTGGGAAAACTGAAATGGTGAGAATCCCATCGCCCTGCCACACGCTCGTGACTGCGAAAGCTGAAATGGTGCGACCACCATTGCCATGCTCAGCGTTTTTGATGTGGTTGCTAGTCAACATAAGATGAGAACAACTTCGGTTCGCAACTTCCCCGGGGGATTATCAAGTTCGGCCTCGCCGCCCCTCTCCACACTTAAATCCAATTGGCACGGGAAAACAAATATTCAGGGGGTAAGGTGGGGACCATTTTCTTCCAGGGCATGCGGTTGTATATGGGCAAACGGGAGGTGGCGGAAGCCGATCCGACAGGAGAGTGGGCGAAGCCCATGATATGAAGGAGAATGGGCAAAGCCGTTTTTGTTCCTCTTTTTTGTTCTCTCTCTCTCTCTCTCTTTCTCTCTCTCTCTCTCTCTCTCTCTTTCTATATCCCTGTTTCTTCTGTCAGCCATAAGCTTTTATAAGGCTACTCCCAAAATCCCAAGAGCCCGGGCGACCCTCCCTCTCGGTATTATGGCTCACCACCCTACAGCTAACCACCGTCTACCAGGCCCGACCTCTTCAGCGAGATTTCCACCGCCTATGGGAGGAACGCACAGCGGCTTCACTGACTGGGGAACGCACAGCGGCCGAGGGGGGGCGCGAGACATGTGGCCGAGACCGATAAGGGAGTAACCCCGGGAACTACTGACTACCTCCACCCAACTCAAGGACACCATGCTACGAGATTCGCACGCACTTACGTTCTCTTACCTGGCGATAAGCCGCAAGCATGGATAGGATAAGGACGGAAAAACGAAAGTGATCACTGGCACCAGAAAGTTCCGGGGAGGGTTTCCCGGAACATTCTGGCGCCACGCGCCAAGCCCAGCAGGGCCTCTGGGGTGAACTCGGCACAATACGCCCGTTCCCTGTCGCTAATCGTATCGACGCTGAAGATAACTTCGGCGACGTTGAAATAGGGTATGGTAACGGCAACAACATGCGCAGCCGACCTCCCATGTTGGCCGCTGCTCGCAAAAAAATGCAAAAATGGTTATTATCGCGATCACGGCATGGACCCCGCGGGGTTCTAGTAATTAGCGGGGATCTAGCAGTCAGCTGAAAACGAGGCATCGACCCCGCGGGGCCCCAGCAACCAGCGGGGCCCCGCACGGCGAGTTTGCTCTCGAACGCGCGCAGAGCGCCAGCGTCCGAGGGCTCTCACGGACGATCAGCTCCGGAAGGCCAGGCGTCACAGCCCAGAGATCGGCCTCGGCAGATCTCCCGAGCGCCTCGCCGGCGGCGAAGATTTGTCGCCCCAGGCCGATAAGCAACGCCCATCGCGCGACCCCTCGAGTCCAAGCGCGCTTTTTAGGAAGACGCAAGCCCAACGCTGAGGTCTCGCGAGCACTCACAGAGCCCACCGCAAGGTCGGCCAGCGCGCGCGCGCGTCCACGGACGCAACATACGAAGCTTACCACCCACTGGTGGGAAGCCCGCATATCAGCACGCGACCCTCTGGCCTCGGGCTGGCGGCGAACAGCGATTTTCAAACGGCGCGACACATCATGCGCAAGATAAGCATAGCGCAGCATAGCGGGAGCCGCCTTTAAAGCCGGCAACGCCCCAGGCCACACGAGGGCAGGGCCGCGGGCCGAGCCAAACTCAAAGTCGCCAACGCAGCGGGCCGAGAAGGAATGGGGGCGGACGAAGAGGCACAAGCGTCAAAAAAAGCGCCTGCAGCAGGACTGGCGCATGCAACCTGGTGGACTCACCTGAAGTAAACCCAGCATCCCAGTCTACTACTTCACTTCCTTGAGCTCACGGCGTGGCGCGAGGGGCATGGCCGTCGTCGATCATAAGTCCCGCGAGCTCCTGCCACTCCAACGCCCCACAGGGTCGTGGGATGGATACGATCAGCACGCGGTGACAGAGGGCGTAGAAGTCGATGCGCGGCTTGCGTTGCAGACGCATGCCCACCAGTTGCCCCAGCTGCCGCGGAAGGTCATGAAGGTCAGGCGTAGGACCCCCGGCTCCCGAGCTGTGGGCCCCCACCATCTCAGGGTCGGGGCAGGGCGCCGGCGCCTCGCATCCGCGAGGTGCGAGGGCCCCCGTTCCCCTGGGGAACGCACTTCCCAGGCCATGGGCGGCGGCACAGGGCGTCGGCGCCTCGCGCCCGCGAGATGCGAGGGCCCCCGCCCCCTCGGGGAATGCACTTCCCAGGCCATGAACGGCGACACAGGCGGCCGCATATGCCGTAGATACGGTCGCCCCCGAATACCAGCGCGGACGCGGCCGCCAGCGTGGACGTCGAGGCTTCTCTGTGGGCGGCGCTGGCCCTGCTCGATTCGGATTGGCGATCCAGCTCCTTAGTTGTTCCTGATCATACTGGCGCACGCCGCGTGCAGCGCTCCGCGCTGCAAACGAGAGCGCGCCAAGCCATCGTAGGAAAGCGGCCCTGCGGTTGGCGCCCCTGCGCCACGCGCGGTCACAAATCTCACGCGCAAGTTGCTCAGCAGTTTGACCCCGAGCTGCTAGCGCCCATTGAAAACGCAGATGCTGGAACTCCATTGCGAGGTAGGCCTCGCACCAGTCTTTCCACTCAGCCTCGTCATCTGGTTGGGCTCCGCCCCTCGCGCTGCGGATCCAGCTCCGCGCCCAGCGACGCACCTCCCGTTCATGGGCTGGCGCGGGTACACTCACGCGGGGCGGCCGTCTGGGCGCAGAGGATGGTGTCGCAGTTGTCGAGGTGGCCCTGCTGATGCCCCACCTGCTGGACCTGCCCCTTGCAGTAGCTGGCGGACTATCGGTGCACTTGGACGTCTCATTCTCCCGAACCGACTGAACCTCTTCTTCAGGTGGTGGTAATTGATCGCGCGGTAGGTAGTGTCGAGACCCAGGACACTGTGTACCATCAACTTCTTCTTCGATGTAACGGTAGGTCGGGCGGTCCCAGAAGCGCGCCCGTCTGGCCCGAGGGTCGCGCACTGGGCTACCCACGCGGTGGGTCCGCTCCTTTGCTGGCACCTTTGCCTGCAAGGACCGCCGCTGCACGCTTCTTGGCAGACTGCTTGGCTGCCCACCAGTTGTCCCAGCCCACCGTGAAGCAATCCGCGTGGACTCTAGCCGCGGGGAAGGCGTGATGATGTAGCCGGGGCGACCCCAGATCCGAGCTTCAGGCGAACAAATTGTGTCGCCGTCTGAGGTAACCACATAGCTGGACTGTGCCGCAACGTCCTGGCCTACATGAAGGTCGACCTCAGGCCACACCCGCCCACTGGCGAGCATAGCACGGTGGGCGCGGTGATAGCGCCATATGCTGTGCACTGGCTCGCTCCCGTCATAGTAGTCATCCTGCGACACGGAGCTCCACGGTAGTCGTGCCGCCACCGAACGCTCGGACCTCCAGCGTAGTGAACTTCGGCTAGCGATGGCGCACAGAACAGAAACGAAACATGACATGTCCCGCCATCGACTGATGATCATGCTGCGCGGGGGGGTGCGACCCCGCAAACACGAGAAACGACGCCAGAATCGCTCGAGCCTGGGCCTTCTAAGCGCGCTTCCCGTCATCCGCCAAGTCCTGGTGGAGGCCGAATCCCGCCACCACTCCCCCCCTGGACACCCCCCCCCCTCCGGGCCCATAAGCAACGTCCATCGCGCGACTCTTCGAGTCTAAGCGCGCTTCCCGTCATTTGCTAACGATTGGCCAGATGTGCCCCGCCACCGTCCATTAGTAAGAGATTATTAGATATGATGCAGATTCAGCCACAATGTCCAGCTCGCTTCTCGTACCTCGAAGACGCTTCCCGTCATCCGCCGACCCTTCAGCGTGTGTGAGACGCTGTCGTCGTCTTCGTCGTCGCCAGTACCAAGAGAAAAAAAAAAACGAACAGAGAAAAGAAACGATGTGGCTGAGTCGTTTCCCTACACTTTGCCCCTCCCTGACAGGGGGGGCAGGGGGACTCATGGGGGGGCAGGGGGGGCGTAGGAGGGGGACTCCCCCTGTGGACAGCGGGGCGAAGTGGCCACCCCTCTGGCGGGAGGTTACCAGCGGGAGTCCCGGGGGAAGTCATCCTGCGGTGGGAGGGGCTGGTCCCGGGTCAGAATACCGCCCCCCCCCCTGGGGATCTCGGCGGACCCCGGGGGGGCGCCAGCGGGGGTCCTGGTTGAGATCCCGCCTTCAGAGTCGGCGGCACTGGCCGCCTGGCCTTCACAATATCTGTGTTTTCAACGGGATTCCTGTCTGGCGCATTGTCCCCGGGGAGCGCTGATGAGGAGAAAGAGAGGAAGCGTCTTCAGAAAACCCCCCAAAAAATGAAACATCTTGGTGTCAGAAGGTTTCTGTGCGATCACCGCAAATAATATCAGTGATATCTGTGCTTTCGCAGGGTTTCCTTACCAAGACCTCCAAAAATATCTGGGTGTGTGTTTTCACCAGGCTTCCTTCGCAAAACAACCCTTGCACGGTTTTTAACAAGGAAATAATATTGCAAGGCCGCCGCAAAAGGAATCCATCTGCACGATCGCATCACAGCGAATACTTTGGCACGGCCCCTCCTGCAGGAGAAGGAGAAGAGAGAGAGAGAGAAGAAAAAACAAAACAAAAACGAACAAGGAAAAAAAACGATAACGACGAAGAAAAAGACGAAGAAGAAATCAGAGAAGGAAGGAGAAGA